AATCTGATTTTTTAAAGTGATATGACTGTTGGTGCTGTTTTAAATCCTTCTATTAAGATGTCTAATTGTCACAAATTAATCAATGCTTTATATACTTATATGGAGATTGGACCAACTGAAACCCAGATATATATTGTTGTATGAACAAGCTAAATGATTGCTTACAATAATTATATAATTATTATGCAAATATAGTTGATGATGATGCTCTTAATGTAGGCAATGTTAATCCCACTATGCATTGTACCACTTCTACTACTATGAATGATGATGACGACCTTGATGGTTTTAATATTTGGTCTACATTTCCTACCGCTCAAACCAGTAACAGGAACATTGTTGAACTTTAATTCTACTTGCAAAAGCAAAAAGAGCCTCGCACAAAGGAATTTTCACCGTTGGGATGGTGGCACGAGAATGAAAAGCAATTTCTTGTTCTTTCCGCTATGGCTCGGGACGTGCTAAATGTGTCAATTTCAACTGTTGCATCAGAGAGTGCATTTAGTCAAGCAAGACAACAACTTGGAGACACCTGCCACTCATTGGGAAGCAATGCTTTGGAAGTTTTAGTATGTTTCAGAGATTGGATTAGATCGAAACGAAGAAATCAGGGACGTGAAGATGTTGATAGACTAGAAGACGAGGAACTTGGAGATATATTAACACATGGTAACCCATCTGAATTTAACACTCCAGAAGATGGCCAAGAAGTTCATATTGATTATGAAGAACTTACTAAGGCAATGCAAAACCTTTGAATTTATTCTTTTTTCGTTAATTTACTTGTTAAATGTAAACTTCAATTTGTAAGTTTGAAATAAAAAAAACACTTGCAAATTATAAGTGCAATTTCTTTTTCCATCTTCATTGCATTCCATTATCTTAAATTCTTAATGAAATATTCAAAAATTTAAATATAAAAATTTTAAAGCCTTTGCATCCTTTTATTCAAGAACTCTTTTTATAAGATTATTATTTTTTTTTTTTACATTTTTACTTTATATTAATATAAATTACGATAGTTATACAAAATATAAAATAAAATAATAATATTAACCCGGCCCGGCTCGGCCCGAACCCTTGGACCCGTAACCGTTCCGGTTCATTTTTTACCTAGATGGACCTGGACCCGTTAAGCCCGGTAGAAAAAAATCGGTAACCGGCCAGGATTGGAAACCGGCCGGTCACCTTTTTTCTCAACCCAGACCGGCCCGACCCACTCGTTAAACACCTTTAGTTTTGAATCAACAAATTTATAACTAATAATACGTTTTTGCATGTTCCAGTGATGATCAACCCAATGACATGTAACAGTTAAATAATAACTACCATTAGGACTACAACCTATATCATATATGATAGACACTTTACAATCTAAGTGAAAAAATACACAACGAATATACCGGAGATATTCGGTTTGAAATGTAAAAACACCATTTCTAACTTAGTTGAAACTTGAAAAATTATATATTAAAATTAGGAGATGCAACGAGTGCACCATGATTAAATATTAAAACTTGAAAAAATTGCTCCAAATACTTGACGAATTAATTTGAAGTTTGAAAGTTGCTCCAAATCTTTGCCCAAATACTTGAAACTTAGTTGATTGTGAGAAAATTAAGATAATAATATAGATAGATAGAATATAAGAGATTTGAGAGAGAATAATTAATTTTTGTGGGAAAAAATGAAGAAGGATGGGGTATTNGGGGAGGGGGGGGAGACAAATATGGTCGTTTATAGCCGTTGGGAACGGCTGAATTTGCAAATAAGGTCGTTGCCCAACGACTCTATTTCAAAAAAAAAAATTAAATAACACGCGGGACAGACAGGATAGGACGGACGAGATAAACAAGACGAAATGGGCCGCCCGTCCCATCCCATGTACTGTTTAATATGGGATAAACGAGATGGGACGGGCTGGACAGCCTTAACGCAGAAGCACTTTTTTTCTCCTAAAAGCTTGACAAAACACTTCAAATTTGAAGGAAAAAAAAAGCATTTTTTTTTTTAAAAAAAAAAGAAAAGCAATTTTTTTGAAAAAAAAAAATGCCTTTGAACTTGGAGAAACTTGAACAAATAAACTATTAATAAGAACAATTTTTAACGATGTAAAGTGTTCAATATACTACTCTTCAAAATTTCTTGCAGCTTGGTGCACAAAGTATCTTACGTTTAGGCACGATCCGAGAAAGGGTCGCATCCCAAGGGGGTGTGATATAGGTAGTCAACTCTGATGCAAGCATCAACGGCTGATTCTACGACTCAGAATTTAAGGTGTCCAAATAAAAAACAATATGAAATTTAAGTGAAGAATTGATATTAAATGATAAAAAGCTCCGATTCTTTCATTTAAATTAGTAATATTGTGAGAAACCTACTCTTTCATTTTATTATTTGTTTTGGGTGTTTAAGGTGACTACCCTGGGAAGGTAGTCTTGGGGGTTTGTGGTGGCGGTGGTGGTGGTGGGGGACCATATATTGTAATTTATTAGAGTGAAGAAAAAGTAAAACATGAGGAAGGAAAGTAGTAAAGTTTGGAAAATGTACTCTAGAAGGTAAGCTATTTCTTGACAATTCAAAGTAGAAAATTTTGAATGAGTATGGATAAGATAATACTACCTCCAATCTCTTTATCTCCTGTCACGTAAATCAATGATCGGAAGTAGAAAATAGTACTCCCTTCCCAAATATATTTTCTTTTTAGTCTGTATTAAAAAGAATGACTCATTTTATATTTGAAAATAATTTATTTTTATGCAATGATTTATAGCAACACAAAATATATGTGCATCATTTTACACCACAAGTTCAAAAGTCTTTTTTTCCTTAAACTATATATCCATTTAAATAGGTTTACATAAATTGAAACGGATGGGGTACTATATTAATTAGGGGTGTCAATGGTTCGGTTCGGGCGGTTATTTTATAAAATTTATACCATATCAATTTTTCGGTTATTTTTATTATGTATAACCAAAAGTAGACTTTACGAACCCATCTCAATCATGTCGGTTTCTCTTCGGTATCGGTACGGTTCAGTTAATTTTCGGTATTTCTTTGTCACGTAAAAGTCACTAGTAGAAGTAAAATGCAATAACATATGTACTTTTATAGGACTTCGCAAAATTCTTTAAATAATTTTACTATTTAAAGGGTGATGGATTAAGAAAGCATAAAAAATGGAGAGAGTATAGATCCATCAACTATTCTACAACGGTGTAAAAGAATCTAACTAAATACAAAGAAAATATAAATCACATAAGTGGAAAGATATTAACCAAGTTGAAACTCAAGAATAAAGTCATTAGAAGATTAAATATTCAAAAAGATAAATCTAAATCACATGAAAGGAAACATATTCAATACATTGTAGTTTGCTACTCATAATCGCTAGAATAGCTTGTGTCTTGCTAGTGAATATGCTGAAAATAATTTAGTTTCAATAGGAGTAACATAATAGGTTTGAGAATTAGGATTTTGAGTTTAATTACTTGTTGGCTTGTAACTATTTTCATAATTCCAAGGCCCCAAGAAAAAATTTAATGTTTTATTATTTTTAAACGTAATATATAAATATATTTTTCACATGTAAATTTATTCGGCACGGTTCGGTATTTCTCGGTTTATTTTCATAAAATAAAAAACCTACCCTAGTTATTGGTACAGTTATAGATTTATATAAAAATCTACAATTTTATTTTAAAAAAACCTGAAAATTGATTCGGTACGGTACGATTCGGTCAATTTTTAACTATTCATTTACACCCCTAATATTAATCGGTCATCCATCTTGTCCCTTTTGGTAAACAAGCATAGTACTTAACCAATTTTGCACAATGTACGTGGCACAAAGTAAATACCTAGAGTAGCCTAGGAATCTTGGTAATGGACTTTGTGAAACTTCATAGACGAACATCTTAGTGTGGCCGAAACTATTTATATCTGATAATCACAAAAGTATATAAAATTTGTATATTTTTATATATATTTTTCGATTATTATTTTGAGAGTAATTATACGGTGTCATTTTTTCAAACTTAATCCTAGAGATTTAGACTTAATTCGAGAATTTGGTGATGGGTCACATGAAACTTAGTTTGAAAGAGAAATTATTAGACGTACGAATAAACGTATTACGTTAATAGTTGAAAGAAAAAGCTACACATAAGGTATAAGTATACTATTAACGGAACGTGACTTTTTAGAAAAATCACGAATTTTACCCAAAGCGAACAAACGTTAAGAGTGTCATTGAGTTGGTTAGTCCAATACAATCCATGCTCCTACTAGATTTGTTCAATGCTAAGTCACCTTCAGCTCCAATAATAACAAGGATATATTATGAAGAAGTCAATGGTCCTCAGTTTTTTTTTATATATATAATTAATGCAGCTTCCTAAAAACAATTTATTTTTTCTGCCATTTAAATAAGCTTGGGTGATTTTTCTCAGACAATAAAACTTAATTGCCTTTTGTTATTTCCACTGATGGGTCTGCTTAGCCATCTTTAGGCACTGAACATTAATTCTCGAAAGTCTAAATTTGAAGATTTTACATCACTCAACATTCCACAAAAATCTCTTAAATTATAAATTTTTAAATATCTCTATCTGTCCAGTAGCTTTCAGCTAGGACAAATAAACGAGTTGATCACACTAACAAACGTAACCAAAATAATGCATGTAGAGCCTACCGAGGTACCAAGTTGTAGTCTTTATTTTTTCTTTTTCTTTCTCGTTTTGGACACCTAAATTATACATACCACGTTGAGTTGTGCAACTTGTTTTAATCATGCTCAAATTTCAAACCATTAGATTAGTGGTGTCCCACTTAGGGACAAACCTACTACATGTTTCAGAAAGAGATTCAACCTCTGAAAAATTATATTGTATAATTAAGATAAAAATTAGTTTGTTTGTACATATCTATAAATAAATAGTTGAAAAACTTCTAGTTTATTGGCAAATAGTTCAACATTTTCTTTAAATCATTGTTTGAATTCCAATTGTGTCATCCTTGTATGTTTTTTTTCTTGTTCAGCTACTGGTCTCATCAGGGGCGAAGCGCGTTCTGGTTATGAGTTCAGCGAACCTAATAGCTTTTGTTCAAATAATTCATTGATTATTTATAATTTAATAATTTAGAATTTAGTAACTTTTAGAGTTTCGAATGAAATATTAGTTCAGCCTCTGGGTTCCACCATTTTACGCACCTTTCAAATACAGAGAATGTCTTTTGAAATACCAAAATAACAAAGAGAGTTTCATTCTTTCCGGTTAGCAAGATTTAGACAGCTTCTTCAATTACAGCTCTTCCTTTCCTTTGACATAGCTCTTGTCTTTACATCTTTAACCTCTCTATATATTCAACTTTAAGTAAATACCCTTTTGTTTTTTTCTTCCTTCTCATGCATGGTTATTTGATGTATTGAATCTGAAATATAAAATGGAAAGGTATGAAATTCTTAAAGACATTGGTTCTGGCAATTTTGGTGTGGCGAAGCTTGTGAAAGATAAATGGAGTGGTGAGCTCTTTGCTGTTAAGTATATTGAAAGAGGCAAAAAGGTCTGTTTTTTTTATCTCTCTCTTTCTCTGATACATTTTTTTATGATCAAGTTTCTTTTGATCAAATCCTTCTTGGCATATTGGAAGGGAGCCTTGGAATAACGGTAAAGTTGTATCCTTGTGATATGTAGTTCACGGGTTCAAGCCGTGGATACAGCCACGGATGCTTGAATCAGGTAGGTTACCTACATCACAGCCCCTTCGATGCGGCCTTTTCCCGGACCATGCGTAAACGCGGATGCTTCGTGCATCTAACTACTATTTTTCTTGTTGGCATATTGCTAGGCTGTTACAGAGTCTTTCGTCTTGTTTATTTAAAATATTCCTTTTTGTTACTCTGTTAATTCTTTTTCATTCCTTTGGATTATTTTGTGCAGATTGATGAGCATGTTCAAAGGGAAATCATGAATCATAGGTCTTTGAGGCATCCAAATATCATTAGATTTAAGGAGGTAATCTGTTCAGTATTCAATGATTTTGTGCTTTATTTATTTGTATCTTACTACAAATAAATAAATCTTATGAAATCTTAGACATGGTGATTTGGGAAGGAAAGTCTTGGCGTAACTGGTAAAGTTGATGTCATGTGACCAGGAAGTCACGGGTTCGAGCCGTGTAAACAACCACTTGCAGAAATGCAGGGTAAGGTTGTGTACGATAGACCCTTGTGGTCCGACCCTTCAACGGACCCCCCACTACATCGGGCTGTCCTTAGACATGGTGATCTGCTAGGAGGTGAAGCAGGATGCTAATTTCTGCTTATTTGAAAGTGAAGTTTCCTTTTTTGGTCCAGTTAAAGTTGAAGTTTTCTCAAGATGGCCTCTTTGAATCAGATTCCATATGTATTGAATTTGTTTCTTCCTCACAAAGTGAAAGTTGGAATTGAATATTTTCATTCTTTTTATCTTCCACTAAACTAAGTGGGAATTTGGAATCATATAATGAATAGACATTTCTAACCAAATTGCCTTAACTTTTGTGTTGCATCCTTAATACTAGTATTTGATAACTAATAAAAAGTTGTACTCTACTTCTTTTAACATTGATATTACAGTCTCCTTAGTAAACTTTAGAAGCCTGAGATGCTTTATCAGATACTGTTATAATACGCGAGTTAGTTGATGTTACCTGTCGATTGGTTAAAATCCTGATTCTTGATTTTGTACATGATTTCCTTTTCTAATTTTCTGCTACTAAGAGGGCCGAGACTTCTGGCTAATTCGATCGAGCTGCATTTATTAGAACGCTAAAAAAAGTTATCAGTATTGTGCAGGTATTGCTAACTCCAGCTCATCTAGCCATAGTTATGGAATATGCTTCTGGAGGGGAGCTTTTCGAACGAATATGCAATGCTGGAAGATTCAGTGAAGATGAGGTAACACAAGATTTTGGAGATCTCTTTCTATTTTTGTAATTGCCAATGCTGCAAAGATTGCCAGTTAGAAATTTTATAAGATAAATCTTGAAATTATTGTTAACTGATGTGATTTGTAATCTTGTCCGAATTATGCTTATTTTGTTTCAGGGAAGGTTTTTCTTTCAACAACTTATATCAGGAGTCAGTTACTGTCACTCAATGGTATGCAAAGGCCTATCTTTTCATTTCGAATCAGTTTATTACTAGAACATTAATTTACTCATGGATTACGAACGTGTGATATGATTATTTTCTTGAACTGCAGCAAATTTGCCACAGAGATCTTAAGCTTGAAAATACATTGTTAGATGGGAGCTCTACACAACGTCTGAAAATATGCGATTTTGGCTATTCTAAGGCAATGAAAACAGAACTATATGCTATCTTTTGATTAATATTCTTTCTTAATTCAGTTTCTCAGTGTTGTTATTTCATTGTTTAGTCAGCAGCATTGCATTCACAACCAAAATCTACAGTAGGAACTCCGGCCTATATCGCACCAGAAGTCTTATCAAGAAAAGAATATGATGGAAAGGTATGATATTATGACCTTTAAAATACAGCTTCAAATAATGTATTAATCTGTTGACCTAATCTTCAAGATTTATATGTATTTTGATGTGAAGATAGCAGATGTTTGGTCTTGTGGGGTCACATTATATGTGATGTTGGTTGGTGCTTATCCCTTTGAAGATCCTGATGATCCAAGAAACTTCAAGAAAACATTAACTGTAAACTTCTGATTCATTTTTAAATCATAATTGACTTCTTGTTTTGCTTTCTTTGTCTCAAAGATTTGCATTTTGTGACAGAGGATATTAAGTGTGCAGTATTCAATCCCTTATTATGTTCGAGTTTCAAAGGAGTGTAATCATCTTTTATCTCGAATATTCGTAGCTGATCCGGAGAAGGTTGGAGTTCTAGTTCTTAATCATTTCGATTTTGCTCATTGATCCTTTCTTTATCTTGAAAGGGAGCCTTGGCGTAACTGGTAAAGTTGCTGCCATGTGATCAAGAGGTTCCTCTTGCAGAAATGCAGGGTAAGACTGCCTACAATAGACCCTTGTGGTCCGGCCCTTCTTTGGTCCCCGCGCATAGCGAGAACTTAGTGCACCGGGCTGTCCTTTATCCTTTCTTTATCTTGTAAAACACCGGTTAATCGTCGAATATTATACGTGTAGAGAATAACGATCGAAGAAATAAAGAAGCATCCTTGGTTTTTAAAGAACTTGCCTAAAGAATTTATGGAAGGAGAGGAAGCTAGTTTAGTACAAATGAATGGTGGAGACAAACCATTGCAAAGTATTGAAGAAGCATTGGCTATAATTCAAGAAGCAAGAACACCAGCAGAGGGGTCTAAAAGTGATGATCCTTTTGTTAATAGCAGTATTAGCATGGAACTTGATGATTTTGATACTGATGCTGATTTAGATGATGAAATAGATACAAGTGGGGATTTTGTATGTGCATTGTAAGTGCAACACCATTGGCGTGCGCCGATGCGGCCCTTTCTCCGACTGTGTGTGCGTGCGAGATGCTTTGTACACTGAACTGTCTTTTTTTTATTACTGAGTGCTACTTTTGGCATGGAAGCCAATATTGCTGAAATATGAATTTGAGATAAGGCATCTTTTCTTGGCCATGGAGATGAAAATAATTTACTTAGTCCTACTTGGCCCTTGGGGCCATTCTATAGTAGAGTGGTTTAATTTTCTGATTTGTACTTAATGTTTTTTAAATCCATGTTTAGTTTCATAAATCTTCATTTTGATAGGAAGTTGAAGGTCTTTTTAAGATATTATATTCAAAAAACCATCATGTATGACACCAAGGATACCACATAGTTTTGTTTGCAATTGTAAATAAGTTGTGCAACTACTTTGTATGTAATTAAATATAAGATCTTTGTCAAGTTGATGATATTACTAATGCTTATATTAACTAATCTATAAAGAAGTCCTAGCATTGGATGTTGATTAGTACAAGGAACATAAAGAAGTAGTTTAATTGCAAAACCATTGGTTATTGACATATGATTTTGATTGAGATTTATTAACCTTGATCTTAATTAATTAGTAGAAGTCACCATCATTTGCCAGTGGAAGGATTTGAAAGCTGGTGAGACATGGACTTTTTGCTATTTCCTGTTAGTGTCTTGTAATTTAGGATAATAACAGTATTAAGTATCATTTACATTTTAGCTCTAATTTTGGTGAAAAAGTTGTGGATGTGAAGTTGCGCAAGAATACTGTTATTGCCCGTGGTAGAGATACAGTTCCCAATCAATCAATTAAAATTAATGTGTAGGAACTTGTCCTCATCAAACTGAATGTCTACCCTTCCCGCATTTGAAGACAGATTAATGTTTAAGACCTCCGGCTTTCATGGAGATCCTTTCTTCTCTGACTGTCGTAGATTACCCATAATAACCGTGAAGTTCGACAATCTTTTGAGGGAGGGGAGTCGACTGACTGACAAGGAACTGACAGAAGCGAAAAAGAGGAGTGAAACCATTCCGATACCGCTCCGCCGAAAAAATTCACCGAATATACATGTAGTAATATTTTATTTAAAAATAATATGTAAAAATATAATAATCTCACATCGAGAAAAATACGGAAGAGATAAGTAAACAAGCATTAATCCTAATGGTACGTTGTAAAACCATGCGGACCTAGGCCCAAAGCGGCAATATAACTAGTGAATTGGATTGTTACATATGGTATGAGAGTCACTCTGCATACTAACCTTAGAGAAGCCTTTTGTTGCCTGTTGGGACCTCAATAATTCATGGCCACTATATTAATTATAAATTATTTGATGTTGCAAAACGTTAACAACTCCTGTTATAATTATTGTTTACACCATTTGATATGGATCTATATAGACTGATTATTCAAGGCAATAGAAAAACAAATCAAATTGGAGAAGATAAAGGAAATTAATGAATTATGATTGTTTGTTGACCTTTACCACCTCACACGATGTGGACTAATGAATAACTAATGGAAGTTGATTGTATTTTTTATTAATTTTGAAGAAAAAAACAATCATTATTTTTATGTAAAATTAATACAAAATTTTAAAATTTTCAATAATTTGGAGATATGTATGCACGCCATTGGTCATTGATCTTGTCCTTTGAAAAAAGAGCAAATGGCACAAGAGATTATGTAAAGACTTGCACGTCATTGGTTATTTGATCTAGTTTTTGGAGTTTTTTTAATTGAGTTCAGAAATCCTCAAAATGAGATCTTTTTTTTTCTTTTTTATAAAACAGCTCAAACTAACATTTTTTTTTCTTCAGAAACTTATGAATCGACCATGCAATTGCAGTTTTGAAAAATTCAAAACAAACACCACCTATTATTTTTCGGAAAAGAAAATGGTATATACGAGTACCTAACATTTATTTGCATCTCTCCTCGTTCCACTTTGATTCACATATATCGTAATATTTATGTATATATCGTAATATTTATGTATATATAAAATCTTCTTATTAAAAAAATATAAAAATATAACATTCTATTTTAGACAATTAATAAAAGTGTCAAATAAAGTAAATGAATAGATAATTCAGCATAAGCATTTGCATTTGATCTAGCTTTAGTGATCTGTTCTTTCACCATACACTAGACCTAGTCGGCAAAATCGGGAAAAACAAAATATAGCGAGATTTACGATTCAAAAGGAATCGAAATTTAGCTACTTTTTCATGTAAAGATAAAATCTGAACAAAAGCACCCTTAAAAATCTAAGAATATACTAGCATAATATGCTGGAGTTAGAATTTTTTACATATGAGCTTCCAGCATAATGTACTGGTGTTCCAACATAATATGCGGGAAGTTTATATGCAGGAGATTCATAATACAACATATTATGCTGGAACTTTCCGATGTGCTGGAGTTACAACATAATGTGCTAAAAGTTTATACGTGGGGTCTCCATAATCCCACATATTATGCTGAAACTTTCCATGTTTTAGCAAAATAGTGACTATTTTTTAATGACTTTACAAACACTGACTCATTGTGCTCCTCGTCATACTTTTTGGACTCGAGAATCCAAACAACACACTAAACATCAAACGCAATCCAAGAAAAATTGAACTTGCAAGACTTGATAAAAATGAAACACATTCGACCACTAGCCTATTAAAAAAACTAAGAAAGAAAAAATAGTTGAACTGAAATTTAGTATGACGAATCATCCACAACAAACTATTTTGAAAGCTTAAGTTTTTTTTCTGAATAGCTTGCCTTCCAATTGAAAGAGAAATGTATTTTGAAGTTAAACAACAAACATACTATTAACTAGTAAGTAAAAGCACATGTAGTCTGCTGCTGTTGCCCTCACTCCTCACAGACAACCATATAATCATTTCCCTTCACAAAAACCATCACAAAATAATAAAATTTACAACCGAATACATGAGATTTTCAAGAATGACTATCAGTAAAACTTTGGAACTTTAATACGATGGATAATTGTCGCCTAAAAAGTGAAAGAAACGTCGAATCCTGATATCTCAAGAACTACAACATGCTTTCTTTCCTGGGATAACTTGTCCAGGACCAGGTACAAGAATCTTCTTTCCAGTTAAAGATGCAGGATTGCCATTGGATTGATTCTCATCTGCAGCAAGATTCTTCTTGTTCACAATGTTGAAGATCTCTGTCAAAACAGTCAAGAATGCGTCCTCCACGTTTGTCGCTTCCATCGCAGAAGTCTCCAAGAAGAACAATCCTTCCTTCTGGGCAAATTCTTTAGCATCTTCGGTAGGGACAGCTCGTTGGTCTTCAAGATCCGTTTTGTTTCCGATCAGCATGATCACGATATTCCTATCGGCATGTGCACGCAACTCTTCCAGCCAGCGGGGTATGTGATCAAAGGTTTGGCGTTTCGTTATGTCATAAACCAACATAGCTCCAACAGCGCCCCTGTAATATGCACTTGTGACAGCTCTATATCTGATAATGACAAGGAAATGACTAATCAGTTACAAAATTGTTAAGTTTCTATTGCACTTATTAAGAAACAGTCTTATACAAGGAAAAGCTTTACATGTGGAAATCAAGCTATTCAGATCCCTAATGTGATATCACTCTGATGGGGACATCAACATTTGGTAACAAGCATGTATAAGAGCTTGTGAGAATCTAGAAGGGTATACACTAAATACTAACTCTAACGATCATTTGGCAGTGCACTTGCACACAATAGCAATTTGATAGTAGCGTAGATGTTTCGTCCGAATAACTACGATGTCTGATCCATAGCAGGCATACTTTGCATATTAGTAAGCAGGAACCAACTAGCAATAAAAGACGCCATGTTTTATCCAAACCTCAAGCGGTATGATGTTTTAGAATGTTACTATCCATTCCCTAAAATATTAACCAACTCCATTTTAATGAAGCATCTCAATGAGGCATTTTCGCCCCAAAACTTGGGATCTTAAATACAATAGAGGAACCCGTGTAATGTAGGAGAATTTTAAGAAGTTGAACAAAAACAAGAAGCAGAGGAAAGCTGGCAAAGAAAACTGGATATCTCCTCCAACGCTAGACTAGACAATGTGGCCGGCTGATGTTAACTCATATTGTGAATACTGATGCCCAACCTAGATATAACTTGGTGCAAGGGACAGATGCACCACCAAAGCCAAGAATTCAAGCCGCGTCAGTGAGCGCATACTGAGAACTCATGAAGTGAGGCTTTCATCTCTGTGTTCATCTTATGAAATGAAGCTGTTTTTATAAGACATGAAATGAAGTTGTTGCTGTGGTCAATTGACTAATTAGGACAGACAAGCATGCAATAACTTGAATGGCAACAACCTGTTCAGCAAAAATAATGAATTAACACTAAGATCTTTTGGTGAAGTGCACGAGAGTGTTGTAGAACTGAGTTGAAAGAAGGAGAAGATCAAAGATGAGCACGTAGGCCTATCATTCTTAACCTGAGAGAGACGAGGATGAAATACTACCGAAGAAATTAAAGATCAACAACGGAGATTCTGGTGAGTCCAGTGGTGGATCTAGGATTTCAAGAGGATGGGTGCACTATTGTGAAGATGCGCATTTAGAATTTATATTTGACGAGTTTAACTTTAGTATCTACACTTTTGAAATTATAGGTTCAAAATTCTATTCTTTTTAAAATTTTAGTGATTTTCACGTATATATCTATACTCCATGCCGAAAACAAGACCGTTCGGAGTGGGATTTGAACCACCAATTTCACTCGTAGAGGTGCACCCAATGATTATTGCACCATAGGAGTCTTTGAGTATGGGTTCACGCACATATAATTAAGTAATTTTCAAGAAATATAACATTATTATACATGGTTTAGGGAGAGGAGTATGGGTTCACGTGAACCCATACCCTAAGACTTAGATACGCCCCTGCTGGTGACAACAAAAAATTGGTAATACTTTATTTCTTTTCGAAACTGGGTGGCCAGCGAACATCTTTAAGCAGTTTGTCAGTGAGCCAAAAGACTCTAGGATTGCAACGGTCATGATACTATATGAAGAATAAGTTACAGAGAACCAAATAAAAGAACTTCTTTTTGGTAATTGAGAGAGAACCAAAATTTTGAGAGTGCGCACAATTGCATCAGAGCAAAGTCTCAACCTTGCGCATCTATATCCCTGTTTAATTTATAATGACTTCCACTCCAGTTGACTATGGGATACAATCACCTTAAATGGGGCCTAATTTATGGATAATATCCCATTTATGTTGCACCAGTTAAGTAGTTGTCCAATACGAGTTGTTACCTTATAAACCCAGACATACTCTACCAATCTTGTCCTAGTTTCATCCTTGGTCCTAGCTTAGATGCAAATGACTTAGCAGTTC